CAACACAGTCCTCGTCGTCAAGAGGAGAAGATGCTACCACGTTGGTGACAATTTGAGTTTGGCAACGAGGTAAAGTTACAAAAGGAGGCGACGAAAAGTGTTTCGGTTCTCCTGAATCCCACATAGAATCAATGAAACGCAAAATTCCGTCGTCACTGTAAGTAGCTAACCAGCCAAGGTATGCTAGCCAATCTATTTTATGTCTACCCACAGGCACCTTCTTTTCCAAAGAAGTGTGGCGAGATTTAGGAACATTACTAACCTTCAGTCCACAACCGTGGATGGAACATGGAAGGGTTCGCAGTGAGGAAGATGGGAAGCCACTAGAGAGAAAAAGAGATGACCTCATCGACGCAGGTTTGCCTAGGCACAACATCGAAGGCTCGTTGAGAAGCAGAGACATGATGATGAATAATGATCGATCTTATCGAAAACAAGAGATTTAGGGAAAAAAAAAAAAAAAAACCTAATTGAAGAATCGTTGTGATGATCACCTTTTAGACGCTACATTATTAATACAGAGGAAATAGACTTGCTCACCAAGTTTCCCGTCTCCAAATAAACATATTATTCTCTCTCTCGGAGACGTATCGTCCCCAAACCGCACCCAAACCGATTTTATTTTAAAGAAATTTTCACGTTTAGCATTGAAAAAAGATTTGGTCTCAGCTTTTGGCAAAGTGAGATTTCATAACGTTGATTTTGAGAGCTTGGTTATTGATTTTATAACACAAAAAGAAGAAAAGTTACGTTTTAGAATTAATATTCTGGTTTTACTCTTGTTTTATTTATTTGGACTATGTTGGTTATTACTTTAAAGCTTTTTTGTATTTGAATCAAGGCCCTTTTTTTAACACCGCTTCTGGTCCATACAATGCTAGGCACGGCTCTGGAGACAAGTGTTTTGCTTTAGTGGACTATATTTATTTTATGGAAATATTACAACATCCTTGTATTCCTCCAATAAAAAAACAGCTTAATTACGACGTTCTAATGATATTAATATTTAATTATTTAATTAATAGCAAAGAAAGTACATCTTAATTTTATTTTTTTGATAAAAGAATACATCTTAATTAATTACTTACTTTTTGGTAAAATTAATAACTTTCTTCATTAATAGTAAATTTCAATTACTTAATTAATAGCAAATAAAGAGGTCTAATTGATACTAAACAAAATAGATAGCTTTTAATGACTAAACAAACGATAAATAGCAATGATATTAAACCGAAAAGCTCCAAATAGCAAATAGCTATTAATTTATTAATAGCAAATAAATAGGTCTAATCGATACTAAACAAGACTAGATTTCCACCCGCGGTATACCGCATGACGATTTGTTTTTAAAATTAGTAATTTTTAAAATTTAATGGTTATATATTATATATATTAAAATTTGCAAATTGTATCATTTTATAAGATATTTATATTTTATAGTTTACAATTGTTATTAAGTAACGGTATACCACATAACAATTTTTCTTTTATACAATTTTCTTTGATCAGGATCATTCGATATGTCAAATATTGGTGGTGTTAAAAAAGTAATAAAATGAAGATTTCATATTAAAGCATCGGGTTAATGATGTTTAACCCGATGGAAGGAACATGGAAGGGTTCGCAGTGAGGAAGATGGGAAGCCACTAGAGAGAAAAAGAGATGACCTCATCGACGCAGGTTTGCCTAGGCACAACATCGAAGGCTCGTTGAGAAGCAGAGACATAATGATTAATAATGATCGATCGTATCGAAAAGCAAGAGATTTAGGGAAAAAAAAAAAAACCTAATTGAAGAATCGTTGTGATGATCACCTTTTAGACGCTACATTATTAATACAGAGGAAATAGACTTGCTCACCAAGTTTCCCGTCTCCAAATAAACATATTATTCTCTCTCTCAGAGACGTATCGTCCCCAAACCGCACCCAAACCGATTTTATTTTAAAGAAATTTTCACGTTTAGTATTGAAAAAAGATTTGGTCTCAGCTTTTGGCAAAGTGAGATTTCATTCTCACGTGGTGGCAGTTAAGCCAAATTGTGACGAAAATACCCCTAACGACGAAAACCAAACGACACAGTTAATTTCGGTTTAGTTGCTTTCTTTTGTTTTACATCACACGGTTTAGTTAGTTTTGAATAAAAAAAAAAAAAAAATTTCGTTGCAGAAACTGTCGAAGAAAACGAAGAAGAAGAAGGAGAGAGAGACGGAGAGATTCGAGAGAGAAGTAGAAATCAGTTCGGAATTCATTTATCCGTCTTCGTTTTTGACATCTCCGTTCGAATTGTCGGCTACTTGATTTGAGGCATTGCATTGAACTCAATAAACCGGCGAAGAGAAAGTTCCAGTTTTTCCGGCGAAGGCGACCTGAGAAACCTCCGGCGAGATAGAAACCTTCGAGATGGCTGGAAATAAACAAAACGACGAAGTACCAAGGAAGCAGCATACGCGGGAAGGCCCCGAGAAGGAGAAGCGGGTACTCAGAGTATCCCCGAGGAGAAAACTCTCTCCGACAAAGCCGCCGGAGGAATTGGGTAAGTTCATATATTATTTCGTTTGTAGTTTCTTTGGGTGTATCGGAATCTTAAAGCTTGTTTGATAAAAGGGATAGAATTTTCCGGATTTTGCTATATCTGTAGTTTGAAAATTTGAGAAGATGAATTGGAAATCTCTGTTTCCGCCAAAATTCAGATTTTGAGTATATAATGTTGATAATTACTGTGTACGTACACGAATTCATACATCCTTACTTAATTGTATATCACTTGTAATTGCAGGCAGTACAAGCGTGGCTCCGACTGAAGATCTTATAGTTGAAGAGTTACCACCTAGACTCTTTGCCCTAGACCGGTACCCTGTCAAGACGAAGATGAACGCGTACTCCAAACCGGAGTACCTTTCTGACATAGCGCAAGTTCTTAAGGGAAAAGAGGAGATGAAGTTTCTTCTCGAGTCTCCATTTGGGGACCTTTTTAGGATACCTGCTAACAAGTATTCCTTCTCAGGTAAGCTTGTTCTTGGACTAATATGTCGTCAGTTAGTGACGAGTAAAGTGAATGAGATGTGGATGGCCTTCGGCGGTCATCCAATAAAATTCGGATTAAGAGAATTTAGTCTGGTAACTGGTCTAGAATGTGGGACATATCCCAACAATAAAGACGTGACGGATGTGCTAAAGGTTAAAGCTGGGAGTCAAAGTGTTTGGAAAACTCTGTTTGAGGAGAAGTTTGGGGAGAAGCCGAATCCAACATTGCATGATTTGGTGGTCTGGCTGAAGGAGGAGGAAACCATGGATGGGTGGAAGCAGCTGGCCTTATCTCTTATAATCTTGGTAGATGGTGTGATAGGGTGCCATAATAACCCCATAAGGCCTTCTGAGTTCACTGTTGAGATGACGAAGAACGTGCAATTCTTCTGCAAATACCCTTGGGGAAGGGTGTCTTTTACCCGTACTTTGGAGAGGATAGCAAAATTCCAAACCCTTCAGATGCTTAAAAACTGATAAGGTGTGTAAAGGATGGGTCTTATGCACTACATGGATTCCCATTAGCACTCCAGCTGTTTGCGTTCGAAACAATCCCATCCCTTGCTAAGCTAGTACCTGATGATGAAGCTAACAGGACATTTACTCAGAGGTCTATCCATCATCTTGCCTCACTACGGGCAATCAGGACATCCAGCATCTTGGAGTGTGAGGCTACTGAAGAGGTATGTACAATTGTTTATGTACGTACATTATTTAAAAAGTAAGTGTACATTCTCTAAGTGGTTAACAAACTTATTGGTGTAGGTTGAGGTAACCTATCTTGTGAAACCAGAGGACAATATTTGTCCTCCATCCCTGTCATGGGATGATGAAGTTGAGGATCCAAGAGTTGCTTACATTGAGCGACTGTTGTTAGCTGGTCATGAGTGGAAGGAGGAAGAATGGGTTGGAGGTAATGCTGCATTTCCAAAGCAGGAGCGCCCACCACAACTTGGAGAGATACGTGAGTGTAAATGTTGTTTTTATACTTTCTGATTATTGTCCTTTGAAGACCAAACAATGATTAAACTGGTCTATCGTAGGTGTGAAGAAGAGGAAAAGAAATATACCAGCCCCGAATGCACCTGCTTTGAAAAAACAGAAATCTGTTGTGGAAGAAGAAAATGAGGACACTGCTGAGGATTGTTCTGAAGATCCCCAGTTTGAGAAGTTTGTAGTTGAAATTAGGAGGTGTTTCAAGAGGCAGGAAGCACAAAATAAACAAATGCAAGAAGACTTGAAGAAATTTGTCCGTAAGGAGATACGTGCTGCCTTAGATCCAAAGGGCAAAAAGACAGAACCAACCAAAACTTCCCATGCTTCACAGGGCCCAAATAAATCGGTGGTTAAGGCACCGATGAGTGTGAAGAAGGCATCTAAAAGGATGTCTACAAAGAAAGTCTTCAAGTCTGGAACAAGAAAGTTTGCAAGGCTGAAGAATATAATGACGTCAGTTGCGGAGATTACTCAGCTTTCTGATGGTAACTCTTCCTCTGAGGAAGATGACCAGGTATGGCATGTACGTACATTTATATATAGTATTTTAAATGTACGTACATGAAGATTAATTACTGTAACTTATCTGCTATGGTACAGGATGAAGCCAACAATGAAGGTGGTTTTACTGCAAATGATGGAGGAGATTTTTCGAACAGAGACGAAGATATGGTTGACACTGAAGTAGTTAACATTTCAGTTGGTGGACCTACACCTTCCCATCAGGTATGTCGTGTAGAAATATTTTTATCAATTATTTCCAGTTGTGTACGTACACATAGGCTTCAGAAGTGTATGGTATACTATGTTTCAGGATGAAGGAGCACGTGATGGTGGTGAGTCTGTCCTTGTTGGTACACAGTCAGGGGCAGAGGAAAAAGCTAGTGCTGACACAGAGATGGAAGAAATTCCATCTCCTGTACCTTCAACCTCTGTACATGTATATCTTGTGCTAATAGCCACATACTGTGTTCCATAAGTGTACGCGTATCAATTATTTTCAGTTCTCCACGTACATATAGCTTAAGAAGTGTATGGTATACTATGTTTTAGGATAAAGGACCAATTGATGGTGGTGAGCCTGTCGTAGTTGGTACACAGCCAGGGACAGATGAAAAACCAACTGCTGACACAGAGATGGTAGAAAATCCATCAGGTTTACCTGCAACATCTGGACAGGTATATGGTCTGCTAATAGTCAAATGTAGTTTTCCATATGTGTACTCACATAAAGCTTAAGACGTGTATGGTATATTTGTTTCAGGGAGAAGAACATGGTGCCGGTCTTGAGAGTGAAGCAAATGTTGGGGAGCAACCAGAAATTTGTGAGGATAATGATAGAGATACATCTTCTCAGGCTGAACACACCGAGGAACCCGGTGTAAGTGTACGTACATTTGTCATTCTTATTTCCCGTGTACGTATAAGTAATGATTGTTTCAGACATCACAAAATAGAGGATATAGCCGATGAAGTTGATAACTACTGCCACAGGTTGATGCGGGAGATGTACCCAATGTAGTTCCAGAGAGTAAAGTGGATGACTCAGTACTTGAGGGCACCCTAGGGGATCCCTCTTCACCATTTGCAGTAGTTAAGAATGTAAGCTAACTATATTTTTAAATAAAATAGTGTAGGCTTGTTTAAATTTATAATCTTCTATTATGCAGGTGTTACAGGAGTTGGCAACGAAAGCCTCCATGGATGTGGATGCAGCTAATGTAAAGGAGGTAAAAATCTCGTGTTTGGTTTAAAATTATACACAGTTATTAACATACGTACATAGGATTGTATGCGTACATTTAAATAATTCTGCACGTTAATTTGAAAAGGGAGTGTTGGAGCAGCAGGGGATTGTCGACGGGGTGGAAGAACAAGAGGATTCAAACCCAGGGTTAGATGAAGCAGACACGACAGTTGGTACACTGGAAAATATTGTGAGTATCTTCCCAGTAAATATTATCATTACATTTTGAAATTGTTTAATCATGGTGTTTACAATAATACTTCTTTACAGGATGAACCAAATAACGATGCTGCACTCGAAGCAATAGCAGTTAAAATTCATACGCCGGTTGTACCCAAAAAAGTGAAGAAGCAAATAATTTTTGAGATGGATGAAGCCCTTCCGGAAGGTTTTAAGGAAACAACAGTCCTCGTGGAGGATGTTCCTGGACGAGCTGAAGATTCAAAGGTGGTTATAGCGGCTAGAAATGTCCCTTACAACCCCTTGGAGAAGGTTGACGCTTCCAAATTAGAGCTCTTAACCAATGTCCTCCGCGGTCCGAATGTGTAAGTATCGTGCATTATCAAAATTATCCCTTAATTGATACATTGGTTTTCTATAATAACCAGTCATACTATAATATTGGATATATAGAAAGCACACTCTTTTCGGGTATCGCAAAGTGGACAACGAGTTTTTCTCCATGCTTATAGCACAAGGACAGTGGGTGGATAATATGGTAAGTTGAAATAGTACATTTGTGTACATTTTTTAAATATGCCTGAAGTGTACATACACTGACTGTCTATGCTATTATCATTTCAGGTCTTGGAAATGCTCGCAATCTTGATGTGGCACAAGAACGGTCAACAAATGATAGCAAACCGATGCGTTGTTTTGGACTCCTTCCTGCTTTATGAGCTTACTAAGCGTGCTGTCAGCTTCAGAAATTGTATAAATAAGCTTGGGTTCAAATGGGGCGACCGGCTATACGACATGGCCAATGGAATACACATACACCGTGAACCTAGTCTTAGGTGGTTCAAGGATGTCGACGTGGTATATGCTCCGATGAACTAGAAAGGTGATCATTGGGTTGGGTTGGCAATCCACCTCAGCGCCCGACATATAGTTGTCTATGACGCTCTCATAGAACACACGCGGGAGTCTGTTGCATGGTCAAAGATGCAACCTGTCTGCGAGATGATGCCGTACCTAGTGAGAGCGATGTGCGCGGATGTATTGCCTGAGAAGTACTCAGTTGAACCTTTTGCCTATGAGAGAAATGTTATGGTCACTCAAAACCCAAGTACAGGAGATTGCGGGCCTTACGCAATGAAGTTCTTGGAGTTGCTAGCGTTTGGTAACCCAATGTCAAACTTGGTGAATATTCAAGAAGCAGATATGGCCACCTACCGTCAGGTGTACGCAACAGAAATCTACGAGCACGGCAAGCGCGAGTGTGGTAATCGGCGTTTATTATAATCATCCCTGGATGTTGAATTATTATTATTTCCTAGTACTTATTTTCTTATTTTCAACAACCAAATTAGAACAATGTAATTAATTATGGAGATCCTAAAAATATTTATGTAATCGTTATAACTATCTTCTCTAGACAATCTGCACATCGTACACTTATTCAAAAACCAACATGTGTACGTACATCTTATATAACGTACGTCATTTACACAAAAGTCGATTTTTCTCATAATAAGATATCTATTTCTTTACTTACATTGATTTGACAACCCTCCCTCACTGCATCATCACTTACGTAAGATTGCATTAACTACAACCATAACTTAACCAACTAACTTCATTGTTCTTTATTTAAGAGTAGAAATTGCATTGTTTTGAAACACCAAATTCCAAGAAATGTCTACACCAAATCTACCTGAAGATTTGCTAGCCAAGATAGCCAAAAAAATGGCTGACAAATGTTGGTGGTACCTCGGACCTCTGTTAAGATCAGGGCGTGGTGGAAGAAACATTGTCTACAGGCCGGATGTCTTGAAAGATGCTAATATTTATAGCATGTGCAGTGATCCCGATGACTTCCATGCGGCAGGCCATGATCCGAATGACATCAACGCTGAAGGTCGATATAGACCCTTTTTCAAAAGGTGTCTAGAGGCTGGTAACCCGATTGCTATTTACCATGAAGGACTGCGTCTAGTTACCCATGAGTCTGACATTAAGGGCGCCATTGTACTTTTACAGCGGAATGTACCAAGGCACGCCGATGCAACCCTGGCCTGCGCTATTCTGTGCATATGCGACGGGAATGCTCACTTGGGTGGTGTGTACCTACGTCTGTTCACATGGGAATGCTCAGAAGAAACACGTGACATGTGTGAGGAACTCCTAGAAGAAATTAAAAAATATGGAATTAAGTTAAACAACACATACGGCGCAACCTTTTCGTACCCTGAGGAACGTGGTATTCAAACGCCTCCTTGCGTGATGCTGTGTTATATCAGATCTGGACCCTTCAAGAATGTGTGCAACGTATGTTACCTCTGGTGGTGTGCGAGAAGAATTAGTCAAATTCTCTAGGCATTTCTTACGTAATATTATTTGAATTTCTAAGTTTTTATGTTATAATATGTGGCCTTTGCAATTGTACTTTGCTTATCAGTAATGCATGTCTTTTTATCTACATCCTTGCTTGTTTCTCATATACTACTCAATCTTATGAATGGTTACAAATAATTGTAATATTTTATAGTAAATTGAGAAACAAGTTTCTTAATGTTAGATAATGGTGCCTTGTCAACACAGGCTTACGAATTATCATTAAATACATACTGACCTGATTTAGCCATTGATAATGACCTCTATCTTTTCAAAAAAAAAAAAAAGAAACGAAATTAATGTACATATATACGTACACATCCCTGTAATTAATGTACACTGTCTTTTGTCAGATAAAACGAAATTGCAAAAGAAAGAGATTTGGTTTTTAATGCGTTTCCCCCAGATTTAGCCATATACATGAACTCAATCTTTTCCCCCTAATTCGGCGACAGACATCAACTCAAACTTTTGGTCAGAGAACGTAATAAGGGTAGACATACGTACACGGGTATACGTTACTGTGTACAAGTATTTTAGTTGGTTTGAAACTAGAAATATGAGAAGCGACTTTCGAGATGGTAGTAAATGATGATGCAATGCTTATTGATTTGACCTGTAATAACCCATATCTACAAGTTTTGGAGTGGTTATTTAATGCATACTGTCAAGCTCTATTCATAGAAATGACCTCTATCTTTTCGCATAAATCTCCTTAATATACGTACACGGTTTGCAATTAATGTACACTGGCATTTGTCAGATAAGAGGAACTTTAAAATAATAACACTTTTTTAATGCATTCCCCCCCAACTGTAGCCATATACATGAACTCAATATTTTGCCCCTATATAAACGATATCACACACACTAATTTATTTGCTCACATTCTTCTAAAACCTCCTTCATTCATCAACTGCAAGATTATTTCTAAACCTCCTTTGTTAACAACATGGCTTTCCCCGCAACCCCTCCAACCGAGATGTACCTTGCAATACAATTGCCAAACCCGATTTCCGTCCACATCAACTACCTGCCCGTATCCCAGAATCCCATCGAGACCCTCCGCCACTTGGTCGAAGCAAGTGACGTAAACGCAATAGTGATGGACGACTTCATCACATGGCCTCACTTCGTGCAGCCGGAGTCTCCCTTCAGGGCCTACTTCAGCCTCTTGCTAGAAAGGGGTGCGATCCCGGCTATATACCTCGAAGGTGTCCGCCAGGCAAGCAGCTTCCTAACGGTGACCCACGGCACTACACTACATAACTCCGTCGCTCCATCCAACCCTTTCGCCTGCTTCGCGACCGGCTTATTCCAAAACTTGTACTGGCAACCATGTCGAATTTCTTCCAGTCAGCGATATGTTCTGGGCGATGACACCCACATTAGCGGCAGCTCACGCAGTGGGGGAGCTGGTGATGTATCACATAAGCCAGCTTCACACCGAAGGTCCTCGGCTCTGGCAACGTTCATGGAGGTATGTGCACACACCGGCATGTGTTGGCCTTTGCACGTACAGTTCCGGCTGCAGAGGGTGTTTCTTTTACTGGTACGCGAGGGAGATGTGTGTCTTCTATTAGATATGACTTTGATAATGACGGATGAGGCATACAATTTTCCGGCTCATGTGTATGCTTCGGGCTCTACTTTTTTGTTTATTGCTTCCGCATCTAATATAAGTTGTTTGTCTTTCTTGATTGTATGTCCTTCTTCGGGCACTTAATTATGAATGAATGAAGTTTTTGTTGTTTGAGGACAACAATTATGATATATGTATGTTTTCGTGTACGTACACGGGTTTCGTACAATTTGCTGATTGAAGAACCAAAAAGCTAGTCAAACGTACACTGGCAAATTAATTGTAATTGTAGACGCTGTACGTATAAAATGTACGTACAATTACCCAATAGTTTATTATACAAAGTCAAGTAATTAGAAAACGACAACAAGTTTATGTAGTTTTACAATACTTAATATAAATCTAGTCTTTAATAATAAGAAGACTGGGGAAAACAAATCCCCCTAACTAAAAAATGACCTGCTTGATCTCTTCCACTTCCGGTGTGTCCGGATCGGCAAAGACCATTGACACAGGACCATGACTCACAACCTTCGGATTAGCTCTGTCGGTTAAATGCCAGAAGACGAGTGCGACAACAACATTGCACTGACCTAGACTTCGAAAGAAGGTTTGGAATTCCAACGCCTGTTCATTGTGTGCTTCGCATTCCAAAACTTCGTTGCTACATTAGATTAAAAGAAGAATCAAGTCAGCGTTTAGATTAAAAAGTGTAAGTGAATCAAATGTCAAAAGAACATTTACTATCTATCTTTGATCTTGAAAGGAAGCTTGAGACCGTAGAAGTCTCCGGTCAAGTGGCCAACCTCTAACAACGCTCCAATGACATCTACATCAAGGGCCAAAAAAATAGAAATAAACTTCTAATTTCAAAAATGTGTCCATAAAACGTAACTTAAAAAACATCTCACCGACTAAAACTTTTTTATCAACTGTTTTCTCCAAAATGTAGTCGAATTGAGTGAAATCGTAAAACGATATTGGGTCCCTTCGTAAGGCGTTAGTAACGACGGTCCGATCCATAAACCATATGCCGTAGTCATGAGATGTTGCTCTCACTGGGTCAGCGACGTTACGGACCAAGAAAGTGGTCACAATTTTCCACTCATTTTCTTTGATTCGGTCTATGTAAAAAG